ATAGCAATATTTTTCACAATTTGTCATTAAGGCAAATGGTCTTTATTATAATCTAGGATTCTGTGGGGATTAACAACAGAAAACAGATCTTGTATTATTTTGCATCTAAAATATTTCCTTTGGGTCTCTCCGAAGTCTAGACATTCTGTTAAAATGTGTCTAATGGTAATATCTGCGTCGCTCCCGAGGCAAAACTAGAACGGCTTTCTGATCTCCCTGAAGGAGGTATTTATATGTCAGGGCTATGTGTCCGATGCGTACTCGAGTGAAAATGACTTCGTCTCTTCTGGAGAGGCCCAAAGGATTTGGCGATCCCAGTTTGGGCTTGATGGTGTAAAGTTTATTGTTAATTTGATTTTTCCAATGAGTCTCCCACAGACTGGAGGTGTAGTTTTTTAACTTTATTTTTAAAGTCAGTCCTCGGGAGAGTGTTCGTCGTTGATCCCAACAGAAGGGACTAGGAGTCTTTCGCCAGGAGATCTACCTGCTCGTTTCCTCGGATGCCCACGTGGCTAGGTAGCCATGTGAACAAGATACGTTTCCCGGTTTCAGCCAAGGCGTGTAGCCTAACTATTTTTGGGTGTAGGAGCGTGTAGTTTGTAAGTGAGGTGATGCAAGACATTCAGAAAAGATAAGGAAAGATTTGTTTTCTACAGAGTCCAGTGCCATGAAGGCTTCGGGATGGAGTATTCTCTATTTGAAGATGACTGCGGTGCCCACAATAGAGTCCGATTTGGAGCCATCTGTGAAGATAAGCTCAGCACCGGGGTATTTTTCTATAAGTTTTTTTTTTTTTGGTATTCATCATGCCTGGGTATGGTCGTCGAGAGAATGGTCAACGACAGACTGTACTGGAGGATGGAAAACACAGGCACAATCAGCACATTGATTCGGGAAAGGCAATACAACTATGGACCACCTCATCAGATTTGCCCAGAAGACCAGCGATGCCTTTCAAGATAAAGACAATGTTGTGGCTGTCTTCATCGACCTGAGGCAGGCGTATGACCGTGTGTGGAGACAGGGACTGTTCTACAAAATGCAAAAGCTTGG